TTGCGATAAATTAATTTCACTTGAAAAGAAATAAAAAGTTGCATAAAAAAATACATAAAAATACATTATTAGAATATGGTCCAACTTTTAATTATCAATAGAATAAAATGACAGGGATGAGAGCAATAGATATTCTCTTCAGCAGAAAGTTAAAGTTTGATGATCATAGTTATACCAAATATTTTTAAAATCGAATCCAACATAATATTTTTATAATATAATAAATTTATTAATAATAATAGTTTTAAAAAAATAATAATAAAAATTATTATCATAATTATCTTTTAATTATAAAAAAGTTATAAATATCAAATAAGATAAAAATATAATAATAAAATAATTAAAGTTTTTACTTTTTAATTTTATTTTTCTAAAATCGCTTAGATCTAAAAAATAAACGGATTTTTTTAGTTTTAATTGCATCCTAATTTAACTAAAATTTGATTACTTTTAAACAATAAATTGATTTTTAAATTAATTATAGTTGAATTAGTTGGTTCGATTGGATTTTTCAATAAAAAGGCTAAATTTATAAATATTAATATCTTATAAAAATTACATATAATTTAATATGTAAATCATTTTAAAACTGTCAAATAATTATTGTATATTTTTCAGTAGACAAGAATAATAGAATGCATAACAATTCAAATTGCAGAAAATATTCCTTTTTTCAACTTTTTAATTTTTTGGTCTTCATTATTTATTCTCCGCATCCTTTCTTTCCAAAAATTTTCTCCCTTTTCTATAGCTCTTTTTTCCTTTTCAAAGCTCACAACCTTCTCCTTTTCTTTTTACAGTGTGCATACATTATTTCATCAGAGACTTTCAATTCATTTTATCTTTTTATAAAATTTTGAATATTTTCAGACAATGCAAAGTCACCGTTGATAATTGTCTGATACATTATAACCTTTTCCTCACTAAAGCTGTCAAACAACTATTATAACTTTAAACACCATTTTTTTCAAGCTTCAAATCTTTGAATAGCTTCTAACTTTTTATAAAATCCAAATAAATTAACATCTTTTTTACTAAAAGAAATTAGTATCATTCCTTATGCATTATATTATTAAGTAACTTGCAATTTTATTTCTAAATAAAAAACATCTTTGCCCCCAATTGTTCAATTTTTAATTTTAGTATTTTTTACTTGGGTTTTTTCAATCTGGATATCAGCATATAGTCAGTTTTTTATTTGAGAGATGAAGGTTTATATATATATAACAAAATTTGCTCATTTTATAATAACTAACAATAATAAATATATATAAACAAAATAAATACATCATGATTTTGTGTATAAAATCATTAAAATTTAAATTTAATGAATTGAAGAATTAAAATTTATTGAAATCAAATAAAAATACCAATATTGCAAAGCAAGTTTGGATATTATGAGTGTAAAATTCTAAAAGTAGGGTGACAATATAAAAAATGACTTTTTTTTTAATTATAAAATAAAAAATGGATCTTTATAGTTTATTTTTTTAATTCTCAAAAATATGAAATTATTATTTTTAATATCTAACTAGTATAAGGAGATTCATGTTTTTTTTTCTTTTCTTTCTGAGATGAATACCAATAATACTAATATTGGTAGGTAGATATCAGTAAAACCATTTTGTCAATATCTATTAATATCTGTTTAATTAATCACTAATTTAATCAATGAATTTGAACTAATATTTTCAAATAACCGATTTGGATTTTTATTTTTTAAATATATTTTGATAGTGGATCATAGAACTCTTAAATTTTGCTATGCTTGACACAACTTGATGCTCTACCAAACAAAACAAAGCACAAGTTGATAAATTTTTTGTTGTTAATTGAAGGAATATGATTCGAATGGATCCCGTGACGATCGTGCCTAACTTGAGACACTTGTTAATTATATTAATCATAAAAAACTATATACATGATAATGTGTTACCTTTACTCAAATAAATAAACGTAAATTAAAATATTTGATTCCTCTTGAATAAAATTGAGGTGCACAATGTACACGTGAGAATTAGGGTTAGATTTTGATTGTAGTCACAGTTAGTGCCTAACTTCAATTCAAATCTGTATTTTCCATTGTCGGCGATGAAGTGTTGAAAAACCAGACACGCAACTCAATGCACTCATTGTGTTTGTCGTGGCTAAGAATGGTAAATTCTAAAAGCCACCATTAATACGGTGCGTTTGCGTAACAAGTTATGTTCCCTTTATTTTTCTCTCCCAAACACGACTCCAACGCATAATGGGACAAACGTAACGTGATAATGGAAGACGTTTGCCTAACGTGATTCGGAATTTATTTTACAACGACCACATCAAGAACTATAAATACCTTTGGAGGGTTGGAATTTTGAACTACTAGCCACTCTTGTTGGTGCAAGTCGCAATTTTAAAATTAGATTATTTTGTTAGATATTTGGAAAATTAATCAAAAGCAAAAAAGTGCTTTTATCTTTAATTTGATTCTGTAGAAAGTTAAAGACAACCCATCTCACAAATATATTGCTAAAATAAAATAAAGTTTAAGTCAAATGGAATTACAAAGATGCTAAATAGATATAAAAAAAATTGTTTGGTTTAGGAAAATATTATTTTACCATTACAATACTTTTTTTATACTATAATGTTCTAATTTAATTAAATGATAAATACTTTTTTTTTACACATGAAATTCATATAAAAATTATCTCAATTAATAAAACAACCAATGTTTTAAATACTATATTATAAAAATACCTACACTTGCATACGAAACGTAGAATAGGGTATTTTTTCAAAACGAGTAATTGTCTCTTGTTTCCAATACTAAATGAGTACGGTACACGTATAGTAAATATGCTTGCAGGTACGCACTATCACTATAAAATCACATAGACACGTCTTTTTATTGAAATAATTAAACTAATTATTTTAATTGAAAATTTATATTAATAAGATATTTTTAATCAACTTTTCTTTTTTTCACCTACATCTGGAACCAAATGTTATCCATAAAACTAAATAGTGTATTTGGAGATAATAAAATCAATGTTAGAGATATATTATGAATAAGATACTTTTAAGAGTTAGTATGTTTTTAGTCTTTATATTTTTATACTTTTATGTGAAATAAAAAATAGTTTCTCTGTCATAGTTCATATAAAAATGATTCCTATATTTTTGAAGTGATTTAAATAGGTTCATATTTTAAACGGCGTTAAGTATATGTGACTTATCTAACATAAATAGTATGACTCATTCATTATTTGACACGTGTAATTATTTAAAAAAATAAAATTAAAAGGTGTCAAGTTTTTAAAAGTCATTTAAATCCGCATTTATAACCTTTAAAAGTCATTTAAAAAGAAATTTAAACTTCTCTACCATTTATAAGTCATTTAAACTTCTCTACCTTAATTTTTGGAAATGAAAAATTTAGCTATGGTATATAGAGAAAGAGGAAGAAAGAAAAAACTTTTGATGTGTGACAAGAAAAGAAGAGAAAACGAAAAGTTACAGTGACGAGAAAAAAAGAGAAAACAAAAAATAGTTGTGACGAGAACAGAAGAGTTTTTGTGCGTGAGGAGAAAAGAAAAATTTCTACTTTTTAATTTTGTTTTTTTTAATAATAATCTCTGTTGAATAATTTCTATTTTTTGTAAAGAGCTTTGTTTTTTTTTTAAAATAATTACATATGTCAAATAATGAATGAGTCATCCTATCTCTGTTAGACATATATATCACTATATATTTAACATCTGTTTAAAATAGGGACATATTTCAATCATTTCAAAAGTATAGGGATCATTTTTATGTGAAATTTGACAGAGGGACTATTTTCAATTTCACATCAAACCCTAGTTTTAATAAACATACTTTTTTAGGTTATTTAGAAATTAAAGTGAAGAGAAACAACGAATTAGTTGAGAAATTTATAATGTTTTTTACTTAAATAAAATACTTAAAAAAAAAGACCAATTTGAATTTACATTATCGAACCCATGTTTGGAAAATTTTAATTTGCATTCAAATTATACTTTGCATTTATGTTTTTTTCTAAATGAAAATGAAAACAAAAATATAATTTTTTTTTCATGGAGGGTTAGAAAAATAAGAGTCATTACGGTCCAAGGTGGTTCATCCCTGAAAGACCAAAACTTTGAAGAAATTAATCTGATTACACTATAAAAATAGTAAAATAAAATTATTAATATATTAGGATTTGAATTCAAAAATATATAGTTTAGAATATGTTACTTGGAATTAGTATTAATTACTTCTAACAGAGGATATTATTTATTCACAAACTTGAAAAAAAAAATCCTATAATTAAATTTATATTTTAAAATTTTAAAATCAGATAAAAATGATTTTGACAAAATAATAAAAATATCTTTATTAGCTTTCTTCCTAGTAAATTATAATTTTAACAAAATTTACCGATTCTTATAAGAATTATCTCTATATTTATGAAACTTGGGAATTATTCATTTTCCAAGTTTCCTTACTGTGTGTTCATCCTTTAACAGTTAATTTATTCCAATCTAACCTTTAAAATTTTCAATTTCATTTCAATTAAATGTGTGGATCACTAATCTTCTGAGTTGTACATGTCGTAGAAATCTGATGGTACATAATCCATTCTCAAGTCTAAAAGACAAATCCAAGATCAATAACAAGAAAGTTTTTACGTCGATTCTAACAAAATTGATCTAAAAATATTTATTTTCACCCATGAACTCAACTCAGATTATACTAGCCATAAAAAAGGTAGAAATTCTCCATATCATGATTTGATTGACAGGAAGATCGAGTACATCAGAATTCATGTATAAAATAGCAAAGCCAGCCAAATAGAAGGGTCAAGAAATTGTTTTCTTAATCATCATTGAGGAAAACTACAAAGAAGAAGAGTACCAATCAAACAACATGAAGCTTGCTAGCAAGGAAAAAAATTAGATAAAATGAAAAACAATGAGGAAGTTAAGAATAAGATAAGAGTAGATGAAGTGATGTCATAGCCATAAAGCCCCAGCTTGTTTGAGGATAGGAACCAGTTCACCAGAAATATGAGTGGCCATGATCCTATCCAACCCTCCAACCAGCTTCCCACCGATAAAAACCACCGGAAACTGCACCTTCCCCTGCGGTGGCATTCCATCACTCCGAACCGTTGCTTCCAATTGCGTGGCAACACTGGCTTCATCCTTCTCCTCCACCTCATAAACCGCAGGGTTAACACCAAGACCCAGAAGCAAGCGCTTGACGACGTGACTCATGCAACACCCTCTCCTCCCAACCACTATAACCGCGTTCTCGGAAACCATGTTGAGCACCATTGTTTCCTCTTTGGGTGACGAAGAATGATCATTGCTGGTAACATTGTTCCTCTTCTTATGATCATGGTTGTGGGAATGTGTAATTAATGGGAGTGGAGTGAAGTGGGTGGTGGGGTTATGGAGAGGGCGCCATGATCTGAAGGGAATTGCTTGGTGCATGGTGTTGGGTGGATTGATTGAAACAATGGGAGGGTTGTGTTATGGAGTTATGGTTAAAGTTGTGGTTATTGTAGGTTGTTGGAAGAGGAGGGTGTGGAAGAATTAATATAAGTGGTGATGACATGAAGAATTTGAAAGAGTCATTAGTGGTTACGTCAACAAAAATTTGTAAGTCACGCGGTGTACGTGGTATTTGGTCACCTTGTTTGTGGCTGACGTTCTAGGTTATGTCACTTCCTCCTCTGTTTTGCATTCTGTGTACGTATTGATTTGGACGGCGCCCAACTTGTCCTGCACCTTGTTTAATCCTAAATACTTATCACCTTTTTTCATTTTTTAATTTCTTCACTCACACTTTAAAATACAATTATCTTCTTTCTAAACAGTATTCACAAATATATTTTTATAAGGCGGAAATACATTTCAACTATACTATATTTAATTTTGAAATTTAGTATCTTCCACAACACAAATATATTCATTTAAAAAAAATGCAAAATAGAAAATGAATGAGATAAGAAAATAAATACAAAATATTTTTCTTATTAACAAAGAAAAGAAAAATGTTACCTTTTGTTGGTCTTAATTATATATTTTATTTTCTAATATAAGAAAAGGGATCATATTAAGAAAATTAATATTTAAAAAAAATAAGTTTTTATATTTTTAAACTAATTATTCAATTCACTTATTTTTTTATAAAAAAAAATAATAACTGATGACGTTTTTCACCGTAACAAAGTTCATAAATAAATTAAATTCGTATTTTTATAAAAACTAGGCTTTATATATATATATATAAAAAAAGTATTCAAACCTTTTTCAAAATATCCCTTTTGCTGTCTCTCTTTGAAATAAATGTATCCATAACTATATAATCCTATAATTACTTAATTTCAACTAATTTATTTATTATTAAAAAAATCCTTCTTTTTCATTTTATTTTTTCTTCAAATAAATAAATATAACATAAACTATTTCTTTCATTCTCCTTCTTTGCAAACTAACTTAGGTTTAATTTATTGGCTGATATGACCATAGGTTTAAATTATTGGCAAAGATTGATATGAAAAAAAAAATAATGATCTATTTAAGTTAATATTTTAAAATGGATCAAAAAATTTATTTAATCTAATTTTATATGAAATTCACAAGTGAATAAGTATTTTTATTGTCTGCCTTAAAATAAGAAATCTAATGTTAATCTCTATCCTACCTAAAACTAATTGCAACAGAGTAAAAGGAAAATGACCTGAAAAAAAAAAAAATTGTATTTGCGTGTCGTTTTTGGGATTCGGCGTTCTACAGATGTTGGAATATAGTAATTTAATTTGTTTAAAATAGCATGTATACCTCTACATCACTTGCGTATACTTTAAATGGTAGGTTAGGTTTTTCTTTTCTATAATTATCAACACTATATTTAATTTTACTTCTACAAATAAAAGCTTGTTTTTCTTGTAAAAAACGTTAATCACATTTTAGTAAAACATTTCTATTTTCAATTTATCGAGTCATATATATGTCATACTTCATCTTAATATTAAGTGGTGCGAGATTTTTTATAATATCGACCAACATGATATTTATTATATTTCAGATTAAGAAAATTATGATATTATATCAAATTTTAACTTCAAAAATAAAAATATATATAAATTATATTTTAAAAATTTAAGATAAAACTTGCTTCACGATGAATATTAAATATTAATCTTCTACAGTTTAATAAAAAATTACCTTTTTAATAACTATATTTTAGCATATGATTTTTAATTGCATCTTTTATTTTTATTTTTTTCTTCTTAACTATTAATTTATAGATCTATTATTTAATCATCTTTTTTTTTCATTTTCAATTATAACATTTTCTTTCTATTATGTATTATATCATTAATCTTATACTATGTCATATAATAAATTTTTTTCCAATCAAAAATGAAGTTGAGTTTCAGCAACATATACTTAAGTACATGTTCTACACTTTGATTATATTATTACATTAATTGTTAAACACATGCTGACGTTTAATGTTAAAAAAATATAACAACTAATTTAAATATAGTATGTAATGGTTAGAATAAACATTGAAACAAATCAACATAAATAAATAACTAATAATATATTATCATATTATTATTATCATGAATTATAATAATAAAATAAAAAATAATATAATAGTTAAAATAAATAATCTAACATATAAAAAAAATTATTATTTCTTTTATAAAATATAAAAATATTATCATAAAATATATATATATATATATATATATATATATATATATATATATATATATATATATAAATTCACTTTTAATCATGTGGAATAAAAACAAAAGTAAGAATAGAAAAAATCAACAAAACAAATATACTTCTCGTTCTCAAAAATATTTCCAACAGGAGGAAAAAAAAATTCAATCCAAAATTTATTCTTTTTAATTTGAAAAAAAATTACATTAAAACACAAAGAAAAATGAAAATATCATATAAATTATAACATACACGATTATAAAATTGACAAAAAAAAATTGTGAATCATTGTTGAAAAAGATTGGGAAGTAATTTTAAAATTATTTTTTATTTTTTAACAAAAATTCTGTTATAATTATTGTCATATGTCAGACGATTATAAATGAATCGTCATATGTCATATACAACAATGGTTCTAAATCAATTATCGTCATACGTATAAAACATTAATATATAATAATAATTATATTTATAATTGTTATCGTATATATAACATTTTAATAATTATTTGTTTATTAATATATAATAATAATTATATTTATAATTGTTATCGTATATATAACATTTTAATAATTATTTGTTTATTTATATAATCGCCTATGTCTTGTTAAAATTTTATTTTATTTTTTATTTTTTTATTTTATTTTTATGTCCTCACTTCTTTTTTCTTCTTTTCTTTATTTTTTTTATTCTCCTCTTCCATTGCAACTCCCATATATTCTTTCTTTGTTTATTGTGAATCAACTATTCTTTTTTTTTTTTTTCTCATTCTTAAAGTGTTTTTCACGAGGACAAATATTTTCAACACATTTAAAGTTGTCTTAAAGGAAGAAAAAAATAATAAAAGACAATGTTTGTCTAAAATAGAGATAGAGTATAATATTTTGTTGGATGCGTTAAAAGTTAAGTCATAAGAACATTAATAAAGAAGTAGTAAAACTTCCAAGTTTGTTGTAACTAACTAGTAAAAGAGTAATGGAAACTTCTGTTATGGAGGAACAATAATAAGAAAAACAACGTGAACGGAAAAACTTCTATGTTTGTTGTTAAACTTATCTATTTGTTTATAGGTTTGCTACAAAAAAGTAAAATAAGGGTTTTGATATATGATTATGGTTATAAATCATCATTATATGGATAACTTACAAAGATAATTCAAATTAATTCATCATTAATTTATTAATTTTTAATGACGACCCAAAATCGTTGTTATAATTTTTTTTGTTAATGTTGCTAAGAGGAGGTAAAATATCAAGTTTGATAGAAGAACCAAACTTGATAAAAGAGGAAAAAAAATGATATTTAAAAAAAATTGTCAAGAATATCAAGTTGTTAGACCTATTATCGATGGAGTGAAGTTTAAAATATTACTTAACGTAGATAATGATAAATTATTAGTTAATTCAGGTGAGGGAAAAGTGAAAGAAGCTTACATGAAAGTGTGGAAGCGATAAAAGCCAAGGATTAAATCAATTATAATTTTATGTTAATAGAAAAAATTAGTATCTTATTAAAGAGGATTTTATGAGATTTATAGAGAGAATTCTGTAAAAATGGAATACTACTTAGAGATTGTAATTCTACTTTCCATTACCTATATCCAAAAGGTTGCGCAACTGTGTAGGCCTAGGAGATTTTAGACTTATATCTTCTTTTTTTTTATGTAGGTATAATGTTATTTCGAAGTACTTGCTAATAGAATAAACAAGGTTTGAATTTTATGAAATTTTCGGGTTCTATGAAAGAAAGGTTTTGTGAATCAAGGAATACTTATGATAATGGTTTATGATGGAAAAATTTGAAAGAAAGTTAAGCTCTTAGAGGAGCAAAACGTCCCTTTTGCACTTGAATAACTTGGTACTATCATGAATACTTATTCATTCTAATTTTCCTTAAAATACATAACTAATGGTGAAAAGGATTTAAAGCATATAAAGTGTTTTTTTATGGACAAAGCATTCTATACCTTGAAATGTGAAACACAAGAAGAATTGTGAACATTAATGTGATATAAAATAACTTTTAAAAACACTTCACTTGATAGACTCTAATAAAGTTAACTTAAGAAGGAGAAATATATTAATTATGCTCATTTTATTTCTTGAAAAAATATTAACTGTGATAAAGTCTAATCAAAATATGAATTTGTTATAGATTACCGTGCATATGCAATATTTTTCACCTTTACTAATTTATTCTTGTAAAAGATGGTGTGCTATTTTTAAGAAATATTACATGGTTACTTTATTCTCTTTATGTTGGTGAGAGAGTATACCAGTATAAATTTTTTTTTTAAGGTGATTTTTATTGGTTGTTATAATTGGTTTAGAGTAAAAAAGTTTTTTTAATAGTATAATTGAGCATTTGTATACTTTTTTTTATAGGTAGTTTAATATTTTTTATAAATTCTAAAAATGATAAGACGAGTTAGATATGATAGGTTAGCCTAAAAACAATTTCAAAAATCATGGAATAAATTGATAGTTTTAATCTGTAAACTCATTTTGACTTGTGACACTTGACATGTAAACTCGATAAGTAAAGGACATAGAAGAACGGGTTAATCTATTAACCCGCTTTAAAAAATATTTGTATATTAAAATTGAAATAAAAAAAATTATAATTAAAATTATTATATTTTTATATCATATTGTTCAAATATGTAAATATATTATAATTTACATTATAATAAATTTAAACTATTAATTAAAATTAAATATTTTGACATAAAGATATAATAGTTTTTTAATTTATCTAACAAAAATATTAATTAATAAATACAAACTTAAAAATTACACATATAATTATAACCCGTTTTTAGTATAGTAATTCAATTTATCCTTAGAAACAAACGAATTAAAATATCATTTTATCTTTGTTGATTAAATATATATATATATATATATATATATATATATATATATATTTTGTATAATATAGTATTATGTTTTTTCACTCTATTATTCTCTATTTTTTTAATCAAATTATTCAGTAGTAATCTACGTTATTCTATTATTTATATTTTTTTAATAAAACCAAAAATAATAAAATTCTATATCATAATTGAAATAATAATTAGAAGATAAAATATATATATATAAAAATTAAATAATGTTTTTTAAATACGAGATATATTTTAAATAACTTATGTAATATGACATTTTCAAGAATATTTAAAAAAAATCGTAATCTAAAGAGTTATTTAATTTTAAAAATATAATCGTGTAACTTTTAACCTTGCTTTTTTTTTTTTTTATAATTATAGTAAAGACACTTACATGAAATTATCATTTTTTTAAATTAAAAATCAAATGTAAAAGAATGGTACTAAGTTATTTAAAATTAAACGAAAAGTCTATTTATGAATAAATTTAAAGTTTAACCATAGTTCACGTTTTAGTGTGGCTAGTTTTATGACTTAAAAATAGTTATTGACACATGTTTTCTTCTAAGTATAAATTCAAAGAATACTTTGTTGAAAAACTAAAGATTCCAAAAGAAAGTGACAAAAGGAAATTGGGAATTATATATTATTCAGAATTGGACTAATTCTTCTTCTATTGCTAGGTTATGTTTGGCTAAAAGTCAGAACTGTTCTTTATTATTAAAAAAGTTTATGTTTATTTTTATATTTTTAAAATATAAAATGAAGATTTCTTTTTTCTTATTTTAAAACTAAAAATATTTTAAAAAATTTCAATTAATATATTTTTATTTTATTACTTTATACATAATTAAATGAATGGTGTGGAATAACAAATAGAGCACTACACGTTTCCCTTGCGTTGTGTCGTTGACTGGGGAATAAGAACTGACAGGAATAGATGAAGAGTGTGACGTCTGCAATGTCAGCATTCGTGGTTAGGATAATGCTGTGACATGTCCTCACGTCACCGTGTCGTTAATTAACAATTAATTTTAGCCTGTAGGATAGTGCCACATAAGCAGACAAAGTTACACACTCGTTACGTCATGGCTGCGTTGGAATATTTGCCTGTGGTACTCCTTTCATGTTCCACTTTGATTTTTAGAAAGTAAATATTTAATTTATCAAAATTAATAAAAATAATTAAAATCATAATTTTATTTAATAAGATTATATTTGATGTTTAATTTTTTATAATCTAAAATCTCCTAGTCACTCTTAATATTTTAAATTCTTAAAATTTAAAATATAAATAATTATTTATTAAAAAAAAAGTTAGTAACCATTCCTAACACATCTTGTTAATATATAATTACTGGTGGAAATTAGGTGAAAATAAAAAATTTTAATAGATCTCACATCTTGTTTCATAATTTATCAGAAATTATGTGTTATAAAGTGTTGGCAACGATAGAAAAAACAGACTATTTTAATTATAAAATATTTATAAATACAAAGCAATATATTATTTATTTTAATATAAAAATTGATAACTTATTTTTATTCCATCATTCAATTCTTTTTAATTCAATATAAAAAAAATATTAGAATTGTTAAATTATAAAACAAAAAAAATTAAAATAATTTTTTTTTAATTCTTACTCGTTGAAGTAGTAAATCTCTTCTTATATATACTTATTATATATTTATTTAATGGTGAGAAATAATATTACATGTTTGTTAAGGTTCCAACATAAAACTAAATTAATTGGTAATACGTGAACTTTCAACATACCTCCTCCAATGAAGTCTGTCGGACTAGGTAAATGGTACTTTTAACCTAACTAAAGGATAATTTTTGGCCCATGATAATAACCAAAAAGATGTTAAGCTTTGACTTTGATACCATGTTAAAGTTCCAACATAAAACTAATTAATAATATGTGGAATATCCTAATATATATTTAAACCATACTAAATAATATGAGGTAGAAAATGTGTCACTTTTGAGTACTCTTTGTGGATTCACGTTAACATGTAATCCATTGGTTCAATAGACTAAGAAAAAGACGTTGATATAGCTTCGATAAGTTATTCTACAAAATCTTTTAACGTTGTTATTGAAAAAGTGGTTTAAAAATTAAAATAAAATAGATCACGGTACCTCTGATTACGAATGCAATGACGCTGTACGTACCATGGCATAACTCATGAAGCTTATCCACGAGTTACTTTTGGGTAGGCAGAAGATTTAAATGCATACCTGAAATCCATGTGGCGCATAATATAGCAATTAAATTCAATTTACGTCAAAGCATGACGCGGTGCAATATCGATCATATCAAATAAATTGCCAATTGGACAGCTTAAAAGAACAAAAAACAATTGAAGCTTTCTTTATGTGACGTTTTTGGTTGAATATGCAGCTAATCAAACAAATGAAGAAGCTGCATCACGCTTTTATTATTATTATTATTATTATTGTATTTTTAGTTATCATAATCTTGTTGACGTGGATTCTGTATCAATTAACAACCAACAACTTACTACAATCATATAACAACTAGCACATGTGATATGACGGACATAATATCATAATATAATAATAGAGAAGCCATATTTTATAAATCACTCAGGTAAAGTAAAGTAAAGTAAAGTTTCAACGTTCACTTCCACAACTTCCTTTCAACTGTAAAGAAGAAATTACTGTTCATGAAATTCACTTCTTTATCGATGCTCTTCGTGTTACTTGACAGAACCAATTTTTTTTTTCTTTTCAATTGTAAGACTTTTAGAAGCTACTCCTCCTAGCTTTGCTGTTGGAGAGGGATTGACGCAGCATATGTAAATTAAACGTACTCTTGCACTTTTATTTGGACGAGTCGATGGATTAGATTAGATGATGCAAGCTAGAATGAAAGATGATGGATGATGGATTTGAGAGAAAAGAGGGGTGAATGTGAGATTGATTATACTAAAAAAATTATGATAAAAAGTGTAGAAAATTAAGAAAAAAAAATTATAACAATTTTTGAAGGATTTGATTGATGTGAATAATAAAAAATATTAATCATTTTTTTTGGAAATGACTAAATTAATTTTTCGTAAGGATTGATTGTCAGTACTAGAAAATATATTCTCAACTTTTAAGTGTTGAAAATTCACTAATTATCTATTTTATTTGTATGATTTTTCACGCTTAAGAATCAATTCGTAAGCGTGGTTAAAAATCAATTCTCTGACGGGAATATTTGTGACAATTATACGAGATATATTGTCTTTCTCGTCTTATATATTTTCCCATCTCACTCAAGATTTTCATCTTCCTTTGATTATTAATCTCAAATCTATTATATTCACTGTAAACAAACTTGAAAACTAGTCACTCTTCGACCCTGTAAACAATATATCATTAGAAATAAACACAATATTAGTATATATTCCACAATAAAGAAAACTAAAATTAATAAGTGAATGAAAATAGAAGAAAAATATATTTCATTTAAGAAAAAAATAAATAAAACAAAATGCGAACAATGAGTAGACGTCACAACCCTTCGAATTTTCCCTATCTTTAAATTCAATTTATTTACATATTTTTAAAAACGTACGTAAAACATATTTCATTTAAATAATATATACAAAATAATAATAAAATTTAAAAAAGAGCTTAACCATTTTTACAATTAAATGCTTGATTTTAATTTTTAATTAATTATCATAAAAATAAAGATGTGAAAATAAAACCGTAATTCACACTAAAGAATATATTAATAATCAGATTCGTTATATTCAACGACTACAAAAAAATCGCGTATTATCAACGGATTTTTACCGACGGATATAAAATATTTGTGGAATTTGATGTTACCGACGGATATATCCATCGGTAAAATAATAATTAGTTACTCGTCAATAAATTCGTTGGTAATATATAGATGAATTTACCGACGGATATATCCGTTGGTAAATCCGTCGATAAATTAACAATTAATTACTTGACGGATATATCTGTCGGTAAATTCATCTGTAAATTAACAATTATTTATCGACAGATATTTCCGTTGGTAAATTAACAATTAGTTACCGACGGATATATCCGTTGGTAAAATTATATAATAATTATTTAATATATTTTAATAATTTAATTATTCACCTAATTAAAAAATAAAATATTTTTTATTTAATAATTTAATTTAATCATAATTAGATTAATTTATAATAATTTATTAAATTAAATAATTTTAAAAAATAAATATTATATATAAATATATAAATATAGAAATATAGAAATATATAAAAATATAAATATATATAAAAATATAAAAATATAAATATATAAATATATAAATATATAAATATATAAATATATAAATATATAAATATATAAATATATAAATATATAAATATATAAATATATAAATATATAAATATATAAATATATAAATATATAAATATATAAATATATAAATATATAAATATATAAATATATAAAATATATAAATATATATAAATATATAAAATATATATAAATATATTTGTATATAAATATAATTTATTTGTAAATTATTATCACAAAATTTTAGTAGCTTAATGGTTAAAGTATCCGCCTCTAACTCTAAGGTATTGGGTTTGAATCCGACCAATGACAAGAAATAATTAATAATAAATTTTAAGAATATAAAGGGAAAGGAGTTCTATAAAAGAAAAGATCCTATAAATAATAAAATTATTACCAAATTCCTGTCCGTCGGTAATGTCATAAAATATTTATCTATAAATTTTTTGACCATCAGTAATTTTAATATTTCTTGTAATGAAAATGAGAACAAATTACTATTATTATATTATATTGTTGGTTATATTCAATCAATTCACGGCTAATTACTATTATTATATCTTTAAAATCCGTTATCAATAAAACCAATCTAAGCGCCAATGTGTATTCTTGCATACGAAAGCGCGGGCAGATATATAATTGCAGTAAACTCCTTGACAAAAGTAAACTATTAATTGGCAATTCATCAAGTCAGGATCTTCCGGATTTCCCAACTAACTACAAAGATTAAGGTTAGGTTATATATTGAAAATACAGTCTCTTGGTGCTAAAACTGAATCTTTCAAGTCAAATAATAAAACATTGTGTTTGAAGGGATGTGATTCATGCATAGTAAACGAACCATCCCAAGATTTGATTTTGATAACGTACACATTCTGCTATTGAGTAAGGATATATCAGCAGAATATTTTCGATAGATAAATTGCTAAATGTTTCAGTTGCAAAAAATAATCCATATTTTTTCACAATGTCAGCAACTGGCAATCTCTTTTAAATAGATATTAGAGCATTCATGCATCACACCGACAAGGTTTGCTCCTTGCCTCTCGCTATGTAATTAGCTCGCCTGCATTGTCCTGGGCAACCGCAGCTTTTTTTCAGAGTTTCATGTATGATTGAAGGTAAAAATTCTCTTATAATTCTCTCCAAGGGTCCGATAACCCGTAGGTAAGGTTAGGCAAAGACCGAGTATGAACTCGAAGCCAAATTTCACCTGTATAACATGCATGTACAATTAACAAATGGTCAATAATGTACATGTTAATATCGTTAAAACATGAAATGTTTGAAATCAGTTTCTGGAAACCAAACACACTTTCCTACTTAGAATGTATCAATTCAAACTTCCAACATCCTAACATTCATAGAGGAGCTAAAAGCGCACAGAATAGCCCAGGACAGTGGAAGAAAGGATAGTATGCACAGAATGATGGGAAGTGTATCAACGCAGATTCCGTCAGCCATCAGAACAAAGGCTAAGCTTAAGCTTGAAAAGGAAAATTGGGGATTAGTATGGGATACTGAGGAAGCATTTGCGTAAGACATTTAGACTAGATGTCTAACATTTTCAAAATTCAGAAGTAAATGATTTTAAAACACCAAATGGGAGGCTATGCATATCTGTTTACATCATGTCAGATTAGGGTGCACCTGTCAGGTTCTGAAGTTGTTAAGCTGATATGAAAATGAGATAGATCTTTTATCATCAGTATCCAGTACTTAAGTCCCAACGCTAGGGCACTTGTTTGGAACGTATTCAACTAGATGAAAGAACCAATATTCCAACAGATCCAGATTATCATTAATTCTTATAATTTGAACTTGGTAAGGTAAATCTTGACATCCAGAAACTAACTTTATGCACCAGAAAAGAAACTTGCAAATAGCAGCCACTCAATTTAAAACATTCGCAATCTAGATTAAAGTAAAAACTGGTATCAAAATTCCTATATAAAATAGCATGTCTAGGAAAGTTTAAAATAAACTAATATGAATGCACTTAATACAATCTGATAACAATTAGTATGTTTTATGTTTGTGGCAATTATGTCAGTGGTGAAACATAATGGGACAAATCTCAGATGTGAGAAATACTTTGTTAACTACAGTTATGTCCAGTTACGATAATGTATTTAACAGGACACAATAATTGTCCACGAATGAAGGGTCAAAAGTCCTTTTGCAAATCAATGGGAAAGTAGCAAAGATATCAAATCAATTTCGTTTCCAATAATACAATGTGACTAAGATCAGATTTCCTTTTGTAGGAAGGGAGCGTAGCAGGATAATAGTTGTAAGAATGTGAGACAAAAACCATATCTCTGTAACGTCATGCAAATCTTAGCAAAACATATTTACCATCTGTAGATCATGACTCCTAGATGTACTATCAACTAGATGGGGTCCAGCATGGACATCATTGATGTCTGGCCTCTCAAACCAGAGAATTATAAAGTGAGTCCCTTCCGGATAGACCTGCATATTAACCAACATAACAATTTCATGACCAACACCAGAACAGAACTTAAATATTGCCCATACTTCAAATGAGAAGTTAAATAGCTCTTTTGAATAACATTCACCATAACACAAGGAGTGAAAAAAATCATTGACATTGAATTTTAGAAAAATGAGAGGGAAACCTCTGCTAAAATGTAAAATATAGAAGAAGAATTAAAAACTATGACAATGGATGGAGCATAGCTTCTTGCACGATGGAGTATAAAACACTAGAGACTATAGCACCCTTTTACTGAGGAAGAATCAGCTTCTCCACTAAGCCTAGCCAAATAATTTTTTACTCTTGTTGTCTCATGCCCATCTGCGGTTAATACCCCTCTACAAATAACCATTCTGCCTCTCCTCTTTTTGCATGATTCTCTTATCCCCCTCTCCGTTCCCCTGTTGCCACCTGTCCATTCTGTTAAACTCTCCTCCTTTTGTTTCTTAGGACCATTTATTCCCTCTTCTATTCACACTCCCCCCTATTATCGGGCCTATCAAAATGATTGATTCCACATTTTATAGGAGACTCCAACCAAATAATAAATCTTGGAATGAAGAGAAAACGAACATCAACTCAAATGGGCTACAGCAAGCCCTACCCAAAGGTCGGCTACAAAGGTCAGGCTGATACACTAAATACATTCAACCCACAGTAGTCGACCAGTATCCCCATCAAAATATGAATTGCCATCCACGGGGACTTGATCACAGCACAACAAATAAGATGAGAATGCGACAGTAATTCATGAGAATAACTTAGAATCATGCCAGCATGAACTGAAAAAGACTACAGATGCCATGAATAACTCTGAATTAAACAGATGATCTATTTAAAAACTTAAAATTCCTCTACTACTATCAACAACCCAACATCCGGAAACACAACAGGTTATTTAACATAAAAACAACCCGATTTCAAGTGTATAAGGGAAACAATCAATCTGTAATTACTAAGTTCAAGTGTATAAGCAAAGCAGAGTCGCCTACCCAAAATCTGCTATATCATGACAGCAGATAATCGAATGGCTGCTATACTAAAGATTATATGTACATGATAAATAATTTATAATTTACACTATACACATATTTGTGCATAAAAATAAAAATCTATCCAGAATAAAAATATATTGGTCATTGATAATCAAATAATCATAGTTGTGACCGAAACTACTTGTACACCATTTTATATACTGTGCTATATTCAAAACTCAATTAGGTTTGGAATTTGTTTAAAGGCATTGATAACCAAATGCTTAAATTTTATTTAAATTTTTTATTATAAGATACTCTACCCTATTTTCCTTTTCATGAAAATTCAGTAAAATTATGAGCAGCAATTTAAATCGTGAAACACAAATATCGCAAAAGAAATATAAGAACATTAAAGATGTAATAAACATCTACATATAACCAGTATAATATCCACATTTAGCATTCATACTCCACATGCTAAATGGGTCATATGCAACCAGCCTCTACAGTAGGTCATGGACCAAGCCAAAAAGAAAAATAGTGTCCTCATCACACAATAAGCAAAGAGGGAAACTTTATTAAGCCAAAACGAGATATGTAACTGTACAAAATATGTACAAAGCACAGAACAACACAACAACCTAATACTATATTTATTATGAATGAGAAACATGAGCAAAAGTCTAGAAGAGGTGAACATGCCTAGACATTGCAGTATAAGGATGCCCAAGAAATAGTATGCAGGTGTTTTGGAAGGTCACTAATCCTCTTTAGACAGGGTTTATAGCAAGTAATTTCCATGCAAGTTAAGCATTTAATTAAAATTTAGCAAATAAAAGTTCCAAACAGAACATGCCTTCATGTCGCAGCCCATTTTCATTCCAAAAAAAAAAAATTACAGAATTTAATTATATATAACTAATTCACAGATCAGTAGCCAGCTTATAAAATGGGTCCACTAATCAACCCAAAATTCACTACGTATTCAGGTACAAAATTTAGTAACAGTTTGGATGACTGACACTGACAATTATTTCACTGAAAGTACGTTGTGTGGGATAAGATGTTAGCACGCACCTGGAGAATTCATTACTCAAATGAGCTACTGCCAACATTTCAATTGACATCTGAATTTCAGGAAAATACTGACTGAATTCCAGCAAATGTGGCTCTCTTTCCATAGCTTGCATTTCATGATGTCTAACGACATAGGCATAATGTGGAATTTATTAAGGATGACTATCCTTTTTACTTTCCAACCAGTCTTGATAAAAGTTAAATGCTCTCACTGGTTCTTCCAATTTGCAGTATTTATTGAAAATAATCTGAACTGGAACATGATCGTTTAATAAACCAGATTTTAATATTTTGGCATAGAGCTCTTCTGCCTCTTTCATCTTACCTCTAACACAGAACACCCTAACAAGTTCAGTATAAGTTATTAAATCTGGTGCATACCCCCTCTGCACCATCTCATCATGTAATTGAAGAGCAAAATCAGGACGTCCTAAATTACAGGCTGCACCTATCAACAAATTATAGGTAACAACATCAGGAAAGGGACCTTTTGAAAGCATCTCTTCCTTCAGAGACCATGCACCATAGAAATTTTCACTCTTCACTTGTCCAAGAATTAAAGAATTATAAGTATATACATTGGGGCGAACACCAAAAGCCAGCATCTGATCTCTGGTAAAAAAAGCATTACTAAGATCATTATATCTCCCATATAAGTCAATTATTAGATTCCATATTAAAGGTTTGGGCACCATTAAACTGTTCAACATACACCAAAGCAAGTTTTTTGCTCTAACAATCTCTCCGTCAAAACAAAGGCCTCGAATGACAATCTGGTATGTAATTGGATCAGGCATTATTCCCATGTTAGACATAACTCCAAGGGTATAGCAAGCCTCACTAATTTTTCCTTCCTTGCAAAGAGAACCAATAAGAATATTATAAGTAAAAGCATCAGGAAGTAAACCTTTCTTAAACATCTCACACGCATATCCATATGCAAGGTTCATTTGTAGATTCTTGCAAAATCCATTGATAAGAACATTATAAGCTACAACATCAACTTTAGTACAATTTTGAAGCATCTGATTCCAAAGACTGAGGGCCTGAATAATTGCTCCATTCTTAAAGTAGCTATCCATAAATATAGTAGAGGTAACTAAGTCTGGTATATCTTTCTTGTCATCATCCTTCAATATTTCTTTGAGCATCCTCTTAGCTTCCTTCAGAAGATCTTTCTCACACAGTGCATGCACCAGTATGTTACAAGTAACCCTGTTTGGAAGAATCCCAGCATTGGACATGACGGAGAACAGATACAAAGCCTTACCCACACCATTAACAGCGCAATAGCCCTTAATCAAAGTGTTATAAGTGGCACAGTTGGGACGAGGACCAAATTCTAACATCTCTCCAACAACCCAATCCGCCTTCTCCAGAAAACCAATTTTGCACAGTCCATTTACAATATGGTTGTGGGTAAACACGTCAGGAACAACACCTTTCTGCACCATTTTCCTACGAAGCCAAAGAGCTGCTCCTAACTTACTGTCCAAACACAAAAGCCTAATAGTGGCTGTATATTCAGTATAATTGAATTCACATGCATGTCCCATAGCTAGACCTATCTTTACCAAACATAGGTTTTCCCTGCAATATTTCACATAATAACTAAAATGTCACTCATATTTGAGTCCCTTGCATCATTATTCTAACACATAAATAAAACAGATATGCAGATATTTAGATATGGGATTGTAGCAAGTGAGGATGCCATTAACATGATAGGAACAAATCTAGGCCATACAACCATACATAGATGTCAAGACTAGAAGCTTTTTAAAATCACATAATATAGGTCGCTTCAAAACGTCACATGACCTCTTATAAATTCATACGACATGTGTGTTACACGGTTCATTTAGAAAAGCTTGTGTACAAATTATTTAGTCTTGTCTTATGATAAACACTTGCATAAGTGTTTGAAAGATCTTGTGAAAATATCTTAATAATATGAAAGTCCGTAAGGCTGTCTTCAGCTAAATTCAATAAGTTCTCTTGGATAACTTACGAAAATAGCTTACAATTTTTATGAAAAATAGTTTAACCGTGTTTCCTATTTGATTATAAAAACAACTTAGGTCATACTTGGAAAAAATTCTGAAAAAACACTACAGATAGTAGAAGGAAATAACTAACTAACACACCCTAGTGCCAAAGGCTCCTCGCTTTGAAAAGACATGGAGAAGGGTAATTATATGCAGCCTTCCCCTTGCATTTGCAAAGAGGCTGTTTCCAAATTTGAGTTCATGACCAAATGATCACATAAGGCACAACTTTACAGTTATGTTAGGGCTCGCCCTCTCATTTTATAGGTTCTCTAATAAGTTAAAATAAGCTTATGTATAAATTAATTTATGAAAGTTTTCTAACTTAACTTTTTCCACAGCTATTTATGCATACCACCTGTTTAGATAAATTTCTTCATAAGCGTTTCTAGAAATTAAAAGAAAATAAAAATACATAAAATGAATAAATTTTCTCTATAAGTTAAAAGTAGCTTACAAACTTTCTCATGTTAGCTTCTCCAAAATCTAAATTTTAATTTTCGTATAAGCCAATTTTCGTTTATTTAAGAAATTTATTTTATTTTTTTCTTCTAATTGATTTCTCCTAAGTATTTATAGAGAAGTTTATCTAAACATACCTATAAGTTTACCTTATTTATGTATTAATTGAGAAGTTTATTCAATCAGGACCTTATTCATATGCACTTGCATGACAAGCACTTATTCAATAAGGTCTTAATTAAGTTGTTCTTCCAATTACATCCTTAAACTCGATCATTCATAGTAAGATCTAATACTCAACATCATCATATCATATATGCATTGCATGCCGCTATGATAATTCAATTCAACCTACATTCTAAAACTACACCCTTCGAATTCAATAGAAAATTGAAGCTAACCTCATCATCTTCAGCCGCTCTAAACTACCCTTAAGCATAGCATCCAGCGCATTGAAAACAGCTTCCCGTCCATTCTCATCGGCGCCAAAGCTCCTGTCGTTCGACGAACAATCTCCCGCGTCCACTCCGCACTTTTTCTCAATCGCCGCGTCCACGCCACAGCAAATCCTGTAACGTAAAACGATGTCGTGTTGAGAAACTAGAAAGCAAGAGATGCGACGTAATGGAGTGAGGGAGAGAAATTAGATGCCTGGCGTATGCCGCGGCGTCGTTTCGCAAGCGGAGAATGTGAGCGAGGAGGTTTCGTTTCAAGGAGATTAAGGTGTTGTTGAAGAATCGTAACAGAGGAGGTTCTCCGGTGGCGGCGAAGAAAATTACGGTTTCGGCCATCGGTTTTGGTTTATTCAGAGGGAAGTTGAAGATATTTGGATCGAGAGAGATGAAAAAGGAGAGGAATATTGGGAGTTAGAGAAAGTGTTCTCTCTCTTTCTGTTATGTGGCTGCTTTGGAAGGAGCAGAGAGAGAGTTGAGAGAGGAAATGAAGAACTGGAAAATTGGGAGATAGAGGAAGTGTTTTTTCTGTCCCTCTTGAACGAACAGTTATGAGCCCATTTTTTTCATTTTTCAGCACAAAGTCACACTAACCCAAATCCAAATTCTCTGGTTTTAGGAGAGGACAATTTTTCTGGGACAAGAAATAAAAAGATATGAGTTTATTACTACAAAACATTGTCTTTATAAAATTTTAAAGACTTAAATATGTTGGAGGTTAGTATAATATACTTATTTTATAGTTTTGGTCCTTCATGATTTTTTTTACTATTGGTGTCTCAATTTTCCAATTTTATTATTTCAGTTACTCTGTTAAATTCTTTTAGTTTTTGCTAACATGAAAAATGAAAGGTTACATCTTCCTTCCTCTAGGTGGTGTAATGTAGGATCGATGAGTTATATTTTTTATTTTCCTGTTCGCTTCCCATTCATTATGGTATTTAGGGTTTGGCTTTCAGCATTCACATCCATAGAAGGTCATACATTTCTAATTGTTAATGGAAAAGGAAGATGGATGGAAAAATGACTTTTGTGATGATATTATTATAAAATAATTAGGTAATTATATGGGGAGTTTTTGTAAAGTCAAATAATCTAATATTTGTCAAAATAAAGAAGATAAAAGTTAAAAATAATAAATTATGTTAAAATTAAATTTATATTAATTGATTAAAGAAGTAATTAATCAATTATATAACTTAAAATTCATGTTTTCATAATAAGCACTAATAATCGATTATGTGATCACTTAATCGATTATGTAATTAAATATCTGTTTTGACATAATACGTTAATAATTGATTATATATTCTACTAATCAATTATCTAAATCGATTGTAACATATTTTTATTTTATAAAAAAATGTAAATTTTCTTCAATTAAATATATCTTTTCTAAACTATTAAAGCACTAAAAAGAAACGTTATGGACATCAAGAAAATGTTTGTAATTTTATAGAACGTTTTGAAGAAAATCAAATTCAAAGAAGAGATTATTTCACTACAAGAAATTTTGATATTACTGACGGTCAAAATCCGTCGGTAATATCCATTTACCGACTAATTTTTGACTGCCAAAATCCGTCGAAAATTTGGTTGTCGGTAAATGTTTGACAAAATTACCAATGACGAGAATCTGTCGGTAATATTTTTATTATTTGTTAAATATTTTATTTATATAACTTATTTATTTTATAGAATAATATCAGATTAAGAGAATTATCATTAATTGGATTCAAACCCGAGTACCTTAAGAATTAGAGGTCGATACTCCAACCACTAAGCTACTAGTAATTTTTTTATAATAATTTACAAATAAATTATATTTATATATTTATATATTTATATATTTATATTTTATATTTTATACTTTTATATTTTTATATTATATATATTTATATTTTATATATTTTTATATATATTTATATAAATATATATATATATATATATATATTTATATATTTATATATTTATATATAATTAAATATTTATTTTTTAAAATTATTTAATTTAAGAAATTATTATAAATTAATCTAATTATGATTAAATGAAATTATTAAATAAAAAATATTTAATTTTTTAATTAGTTGAATATTTACTAATTGATAATTTACTGAACTGAAAATATATGTCGGTAATTTGCGAGATGAATTCTACCGACGGATATATCCGTCGGTAAGATCAAATTCCACAAATATTTTATATCCAGTCGGTAATTTACGTCGGTAATAATTATTTTCCGACGGTTATAAATCCGTCGGTAATACGCGATTTTCTTGTAGTGTTTGACTATAAGATGTAGTATTCCAAAAGTCTAAGGTGAAATCGTACTTATCTTTTTCTTTTTGAATTTTTATTGTATTCTGTTATATGTGAGGTGAGTTACATAAAATTAACTTGAAAATTATGAGGATAAGTATTTTCAAGTGTTGTGATTTGTTTTTAGATCTTGATTAAAGGTTGTTGTAATCAAGATTTGTATATTAGATTGTAATCTGGTTACTAAACAAGTTTTAATGAAAAAATCAAACTGAGGTTGTTTGGTTGAACTGGATGTAAATTCGAAATAATCGTACCAGTATAAACTCATGTGTTCTTCTCTTTTTTTCCTTTATCTTGATATTCTTGTGATCTTAATATTGTTCTAGTTCTTTTAAATATGATTATCAGAAAAAAAATGTAAATAATTGATTAGATTTGAGAAGGATTTACAAACCCAATTCATCCCCTCTTGGATGTGTTTAAAGATTCACACTTTTATAATAATTGTGTTGGCAAATTTTGGGTCATGTATATATATGATACATATTTAAATGTGTTAGGGTCATTATTTATTAAGCCAAATAATAAAGTGATCTGAATAAATTAAAGATTTGGCTAAAGGCATATGTCATGAAAATATGATTGTGTAGAGACCATAGAGTAATTTCTAATTTGATGAGGGGTCAAATTGAAAATATTAAAACTTAAGTAATTAACCTAATTTTGGTTATATAAAGGGTCATGGTCCCCTTCTGAGAGCACGTAGACGGAATACGATTCATGATCCGATTCTTTTCTTTCTATCCCATCAAGAGACAAAATCCATAGGAAATACGAGTCTTCTTCAGGTGGAAGACCATAAGATCAAATCAAAGGTGCTCTACAAAGAATATCATCATTATGGCTAATTCAGGTACGCTTTCGCATTTAGTTTATAACATGTTTACAGTATGGGATTATATATGTGTTTGATCATTAGAATAAAGATCATATTCAATTACAGTTTAACCTAACAATTGGTATCAGAGCAACCCATACTTGATTCATGGTTATCTTAAGAAATATTTAAAAATTAAGAATCCTAGGTTTCTTAAAACCCAATTTGTTGTTCTGCGTGTGGCATTATCCACGAATTCCTGCTTCTGCATCTCCACCATGCTCCTGTCCGGCCGAGGCGGAATGAAAAACCTGTGATATTATAACTCCAACGTGTCGCAATCTCTCTCTCTCTGGCACCAATATTTCAGAATTCAGAATACAACACCTTCCACCGCCACATATCAAGGATCGTTGGTGATTGGATCGGAACAGTTGAAATAAGCTATCGACGGTTGAGAAAATGGGTCCAATTTCAGCGGATCCGTTCCAGGGCCCAGACTGGGGTTACTGAAATTGCCAGAATACAAAAATAACGAGGCATGAAGGAGCACGTACCGTCCTCCACATCACTCACTCGGATTTTGTATCTGCTGTAATCGATTTCATGGACTCTGTATTTGCCCGAAAACAGAGTCAAGAAAGTTGCGTTGTTCTCACAATGCAATTGGTACCGCTTGTCGCCGCAGTGAGAACGGTCACTGCTGAGTCGAAAGGGGTAACGAATGTTGCGGAATGGGGTTTTGCCCGATTGTTATGCCCTTCCCATTGTTCTCAAGGCTGTGTGCCAAACTTTTGAAGTTAAGCTCGGGAAACAGGTTCACTCCGTTGGTATCAAGCTTGGACTGCAATGTAATGACGTTCTGTGAAACTGGGTTTTTTTATGTTTGTATTTTAAAGTTGGCGAATTTGGAAGTGCCCGAAGGGTGTTTGATGAAAACCCTGACTCGAAGCTGGGTTCTTGGAATGCGGTAATTGGTAGACTTTCCCAATGTGGTCTTGCCCGGGATGCGATCAGCGTGTTCCTTGATATGAGGAGGCGGGGATTTGAGCCGGATAGGTTGACCATGATTAGTGTGACTTCGGCTTGTGGAAAGATTGGTGACCTCAACCTGGCTCTCCAGTTGCATAAATGTGTTTTTCAGGTTGAATCTGGTGAGAGATGATGTTTTAATGTTGAATTCACTGATTGATATGTATGGGAAGTGTGGGCGGATGAACCTCGCTTACAAGGTATTTGCAACTATGGAGGAACGAACTATGTCGTCATGGACTTCCATGATTGTGGCGTATGGGATGCATGGACATGTGAATGAAGCGCTTGAATGTTTCTGGCATATGAGGTTGTTGTTGCTTGTGAGGGCATATCAGGTTAATGGCCACATGAAGGCCAAGTTGGATCCCTTGAATTTGGAAACTAGGGAAATCCCTAAGGATTTGGACCCTGCACTCTATTGGCTATCTCGTACCCAATGATGGTATTAATGTCATGGGACCCGCTGCCTTAATTAACAAGCCATCATACGTGGCACGTGTGGACAAGAAGGAAATTTGAAAGGGACCATTTGGCTAATTCAGATTAAGGGATTAATATTTTTAAAGGAAAATAATTACAGTGGTGGTCTGCGCCATTATAAATAAATAATTTTTTTAAAATAAATAATTAAATTTTGGTTTTGTTATATAATATTCAAATTTTTTGGTAGTTTAATATTTTTTGTGAGCAAATTGAGTCGAGAAGTTACCAAAGTAACATCTCTTGAATTTGGTAGTTCGTGAAAAATATTGAATATTAGTGTTTGTGTATATTCATGCGAGTATTAGTCTGCCTAAAGGAAGATTAATATTTGCCTGAATTGCATACACACTTGTAATGATAAACAAGTGATAATTATAAGGATTTGCTCTGTCGATGATAAATCAATCCAAAGACCTGGTTTGTTGTTGGATGTGCTTTATTGTCAATGTTTGATTATTACAACAAGATACCTCTAAGCAGCTAATATTATCGTCCAAAGACTTGATATCGATGGTGCATCGGGTGTCTTGAGATGGGTTAAACCATTATTTGAATATTATATATTTTATTTATAATTGTTTATTTTATAATGTGAGCATAATTAGTTTATTTCTTTTGTTCTAATCCAGCCTACAATTGCTTCAGTATTCGCAAATTTGAATTCTGTTCCGATCCTCAATGGAACAAATTTTAAGGATTGGAAAGAGAATATTGATATTATTCTTGGCTGCATGGATATGGATCTTGCGTTAAGGACTCGAGCAACCCCCTACTCCTACGGATTCAAGTACCTCCGAACAAAAAAGAGATTATGAGAAGTGGGATCGCTCAAATCGCATGAGTCTAATGATCATTAAGCGCGACATCCCGGAGATGTTTAGGGCACTCGTTTCGAAAACATTACAAGTGCCAAAGAATTTCTCGCTGAAATTGAACAACGCTTTGCAAAAAGCGATAAGGCTGAGGCAAGCACTCTTCTTCGAACTTGATCTCCATGAAATATCAGTGGCAAAGGAAATATCGTGAGAATACATTATGAGCATGTCTAATATTGTTTTTAAGCTCAAGGCACTAAAACTTGAACTCTCGTAAGACTTGCTCATTCATTTGGTGTCGATTTCTCTTCCCGCAACGTTTAATCAATTTAAGGTATCTTACAACCGTCAAAAGGATAAATGGTCTCTTAATGAGCTCATTTCTCATTGCATGCAAGAAGAAGAAAGGCTAAAACAAGACCAGCATGTAAAGTGCTCATTTTGCAAGCACCTTTAAGGCTAAAGGCAAAAGAAAGAGATCTGAGGATCCCAAGAAGGAAGTCGCTAAAGGTCCGTAACAAAAGAAACAAACTCAAGAAAATAAATGTTTCTTTTGCAATAAGACTGGACACATAAAGAAGCAATGTGCTAAATATCATGCTTGGCGTGAAAAGAAAGGGTTGCCTAAACTACCGAAGCCAACTAATTTCGAAAGATGAATATACGTTCAAAATGGCAAATTGGTGGAAATGGAGACTATTGAACATTTTAGATTATTATTGTGTACTCGGTTTTTTATTTTAGATTTAAAAGACATTTTTTGTCGTGCCGTCTTTTAGACTGAATTTGGTTTCAGCTTTCTTATTTGGACAAATTAGGTTATTTGTGTTCATTTGGAAACAATAAGTTCAGCTTTGTCTTTTAATTCAGATATTGTTATAATCTGGTTCATTTTTTGGCTAATGATAATCTATATTTACTTGATACTCGTGGTCACCTATAATGCAACTCTTAATACGTAATCTCGTGGTATTAAACTAAAATTGGACTCCCGAACAGTAAGTAGTTACTTCATTGGTTATTCTGAGAGAGCCAGGTGATATAAATTTTATGATCCCACATTAAAGACATTTTTTGAGATGGGAACTGTTATGTTCTTTGAGGATATTGAGTTTGGGGGGAAGAATAAGATTAAGAATTTTGTATTGGAGGAAGAATCGGCAACAAATTCAGAACCGAGTCAAACAGTTACTTTTGATAAAGTAAGTTCGGAACCTCCATTGATGACAAACCCCATATTCAAGATGATTTGATTGTTCGTCAAGACCAAACTCAAGATCCTCAAGAACCTGTGCGTCATGAGCCGGGGATACTCCAGTTACTAAGGGAGACAAGTTTAGTCTAAATTAGTGCCCAAAGAGGAATTTGGAAATTGAGGAATTTGGAAATTGAGGAAATGCAACAGATTCCCCATGCATTAGCTATCGGGAGTTTGATGTATTCCCAAATATGTACGCGTCCAGACATAACATACATAGTTGGGGTTTTAGGCAGATATTTAAGCAATTCAGGAATAGACCATTGGAAAGCGAAGAAAAGGGTCATAAGATATTTAAAGAGAACAAAAGATTATATGCTCACATACAGGAGGTCGACCAGCTTGAGATCGCTGGATTTTCTCGACTCATATTTTGCAGGATGTCAAGAATTTGTAAGCATGCTATGAGGCATCAAATCATGAAATATGGCTGAGAAATTTTGTCACAGTGGCTGCAAATTGTGAAAGGCATCGAAAGACCACTTAAGTTATATCGTGACAATAAATTAGTCAGTATTGTTAAGGAAAGAGTACAAAGTGGACAGATTTCCATAGAACACTTAAGGACAAACTCCATGATAGCATATCCTCTAACAAAAGGACTTCCGCCCAAGGTCTTTCATGAGCATGTTGCTCACATGGGTGTTTTACAGCTTGAGGAATTTGTGGTTTAGTGGGAGTTAGTCATTTTCATATATTTTATGTTCTATGTTTAATTTTATATATGTATACATTATTTTTTGGACATATTTGGTTATCTATAGATATGCGGTTTTCTTGTTCATTCATTACACTTTGTACATTAAGGTTATTATATCGATCTCGATAAGTTAAAGTTTGGACCAGCTTGAAAATAGACGTGTACAGATCACATTCACGTAATTTTTCATGCTACACATTTCATGATGAATCCATGTCATTTGGTTATGTCAGATGAGTAATCATTGTTGGTTTTAGTTGCGATGATGCAATGAAAAGTCTGGTTTGGTTCTATATCCCGATATGACTAATGGACAGGACTTTTGGAATATGCTAAAGGAATATAATGACAATTTTGAGCTCATAAAGTCTAACACATTTGTAAGGTTGTAAAGACATATATATTTGTGACCAGTGGGAGATTCTTGGCAAATTTTGGGTCATGTATATATATGATACATATTTAAATGTGTTAGTGGTCATTATTTATTAAGCCAAATAATAAAGTGATCTCGAATAAATTAAAGTTTTGGCTAAAGGCATATGTCATGAAAATATGATTGTGTAGAGACCATAGAGTAATTTCTAATTTGATGAGGGGCCAAATTGAAAATACTAAAACTTAAGTAATTAACCTAATTTTGGTTATATAAAGGGTCATGGTCCCCTTCGAGAGACACGTAGACGTAATACAGCTACAGCTCCGCTTCTTTTCTTTCTATCCCCATCAAGAGAGAAAATCCATAGGGAAATACAGTGTGCTCTTCAGGTGGAAGACCATAAGATCAAATCAAAGGTGCTCTACAAAGAATATCATCATTATGGCTAATTCAGGTACGCTTTCGCATTTAGTTTATAACATGTTTACAGTATGGGATTATATATGTGTTTGATCATTAGAATGAAGATTATATTCAATTACAGTTTAACCTAACAAATTGGCCTTAGAGTTGGGTTATCAAAAGTTAATTGATTTTGATCCAAAAAAGAATGGCTAACATTTCTCAAAATTTTGCTAAAGGGGCATCTATAAACAAGAAGAAAAATGATACTTTGACAACCCAAATCCATACAACTCCCGTAAACAATTCTCTTTTAATATTATAATAATAGTTTTACTTTATTTTTATTTTTATTAAATCATTCTATAGAATATTATATTAATAAAAGTGAGTTGTTTAAAGGGTTGTATGGTTTCTGGTTGTCAAAATATCACCACTCAAACAAGAATACATTGATAAAGGTATTTGGGATGTTGTTGATAATGCCTTTTCAACCAACTAAGATTAAAGATTGTATAACAATAATAAAATATTTTATTGAATGGACCCCTGATGAAAATAAAAGAGTTCTCTATGATGTTAGAGCTATGAATATTATTTCTTCTACACTAACACTTGATGAATTCTATAGAATCTCTTTTTGTGAAACAGCTAAAGAAATGTAGAATGTTCTTGAAGTCATTTATGAAAGAACTGAAGAGGTAAAGAGAACAAAAAAAATACTCTTATTCAAGAGTATGAAATGTTTAGAATAAAGATTACAAAAAACATATATGATGATCAGAAAATATTTACTCATATAATAAATCATTTGATGACTCTTGAAAATATCTTTGACAAAGAAGAAGTGAATATCAAGATTCTAAAGAGTTTAGGAAGAAATTGACAACTTAAAGTGACTGTTATTTCAGAATCAAGAGATCTTACAATAATTAATATGGCTACATTGTTTGGGAAGCTAACATGAGTTAGAACTTGGAAGACTCAAAGAAGAAGAAGAAAGTTAAAGAAGACACATTATTACATTAAAAACTACTACAAAGAAGAATGATTTTATGTAGGGAATGAAGATGAGGATTCTGATAGTGAAAACTTGGATATGTTGGTAAAAGATTTTCTAAATTTCTAAAATACAAAAACAAATCTACTAACAAATTTACTGTCAAACTATTCAAGAAACAAGAACAGGGGAATATCCTTACATGTTATGAATACAGGAAACATGGACACATCAAGCCAAATTGTGCAATGTTCAAGATGAAGCAGAAACTATAAGACAAAAAGGAAACCAATAATTATAAAAAGAAAAAGGCATACATTGCTTGGGAAGCAATGTTTTAAGTATTTCCAGTGAGTCAAGTGAAAACATAAATGAAGAAACAAATCTTTGTTTGATGGTAGGT